ACTACTACCGATTCTGCCACCAAACCACCACTACCACCGCTACCGCTACTACTCGCACCACTACCACTACCACAGCCCACCACTACCATACGACTACGACTACGATTCCCACTAATACAGCTCCCGTCGCTACTCGGCGCCGCTGCGTTAATTTCTACGGTATGGGAGTGTGGGTGAAGGTGGGATGAAGGTAGGTACGATCAAGGATGCTGTTTCTGAGAAAAGTTGATTTGGATGCCCTCCCCCCCCACCTGCCTTCATCCTGCTTGCCGAGCTTCTTGATGAGTACGACTGCGAGACTGTCACTGCTCTCTTTGCTGCCCCCTCTGCTAGTCCTACTGATCCCAATCGCAACACCTCTGCAGATAAACCACTAGGCAAGAGCAGCAGTGCTTCTTGTGGGAAGTTTCAAGATGGACAGGAATGGAGGCATAAGCCTGCGCCTAATTCCAAACACCCCAGAACCCTAAAGCTCAAAAGGCCAAAGACTAAGACTTAAAGCCCAAGCACTGAAGCTCACAGCTCCAACCCACCCCCGCCCCCCCCGAGACTAGCACCTTAAGGTCCTGAAGCCTGCAACCTAACCCCAGGCCCTGAAACTCACATCAAAATCGGTATAAAGCTTACAGCTCCTATAGCTTCTGGGTCGAAGCCCGCACAGCTTTGAACGGAATCTGGCCTGTCAAGTTCGGGCTCCGCCCACGTGGCAGGGCCCCTTTGAAGTCAGAGTTGCCCGACTGAGGGTTTGAGGGTGTTTCTGAAGGTTTAATCCCTAGGGCTCCATAGCACAAAGTCACGTATGTACTTTGGTGTATGTATGTATATATATATATATATATATATAGACTTTAGAACCGAAAGTAGGTACTACGTCTATGTATACTTGGAGCCCCAGGGAATCAGGGACAGGTTCTAGAGACATGCTTTAGGGCGTCAAGTCCAGTTTTTATGAAGAGAAGCCACCCAGTCCGGAGTGCATGCTGCATGCCTGGAGCCATGTCCACATGCCTTGCTAATTGCTCGTTTCCGCTAGTTTACCTACTTTCTGTTTGTAGGCTGTAGTGCTTAGGATTTAAGGGTTTGGGAGGGTTCAGGGCTTAGCGCTGTATGCAATGTTCGAACCGTCACAGATGAGAGCACTTTCAATGAGAGTTCCGATGGTAAGGACACCCTGAGCCTTTGTACTCGACTGCTACTTTAACCCGACTGGCAATGCATGTTGGAGAGCGCTCCGTTTGAAAGGCAGTTTCTGAAAACAGTTGCAAGCCTGGTGCTGTGTGGAGCACTGACTGAATGACCTCGACAAACGTGTCATAAGATGGCGGACACAAGTGCCGATTGCTGCAAAGATCTCCGAAGCAGATCGGGGATACCACAGACCCATCCAGCTGTTCTAGTGGGTCCCAACCCGGCCTGCGATCGGAGAACGCGTCGCACTCATTGGTTGAACAACAGCCGGTGCCTGGAGCTTCCACTACCGGATCCCAGAGAAGAGACGTTAGTTGCGAAACCCTAAACCCTAAACCCTAAACCCCTAAACCCTAAACCCTAAACCCTGGTCTGCTTGATACCTGTACTTGTATGTCAGTCTTCTTCGCCGATCCGACGAGCATGTAGGAACATATCTCCATTGTTCCTGAGGTGCGGCACTGCCTTCGGAGGACTGACCGCGATGCTTTGTCTGGCATGCGCTGAGCAGTCTATTCCTTTTGCCCGTTGCTGGCATCTTGTAAAACTTGAACCCCTCTAGTATTGGTACATTATAGTATATAATATACTATATTATCTTATTGCTATACTACTATATATTTAGTACAGTAGTACCCCTAAGCCTCCAAGCTTGAAACTTTCAACCGCAATCCCGGAACGGCACCGAAACCAGCTGTCCATGTCTTTGACGGCATGTTGCTACCAAGCGTAGGCTACCCGACTGCAGGGGTCCAAGCCCGAAACTGATACCAAGGCGTGTACTTGAAGGATCATGGGACTTAGTAACTAGGGTTATAAGTAGGGTAACTATACTTATAACCCCAATTAGGGTACTTATAACCTTACTTACTAAGTCCCATGATCCTCCAAGTATGGGTTCAGGGCTAAGGGCGACCCTAAACCATCGTCTCATCATGGTGGTAAGCGCATTGAAAAGATCGATCTCTCCCGAAGGGCAGACGAAGCCTGAAAAGAAAGGCGGCAGCCTAGTTTAGTATAGCATAGCAGGGTACATCATAGTCTCATGTAGTGTAGCCGAAATGCGGCAATACTTTGGGGGATTTTCTGGGTTTTGGAACCTAGAGGTTCTGAGGCTTCAAGGATTGATGCCTTTGGCTCCTGCTGGCTTCGCGCGCTTCTCCGTCTCCGTCCCTAGGTGGGGAGAACTTGAAAGGTTGAGGCTTCTGAGCTCCGGGCCCAAACACCGGTGTGTGGGGTTTAGGGTATAGGATTTAGGGTATAGGGCCCTGGGTTGGTGTATGCAGTTTAGGGGTTAGGGCTGGGCTTCAAAGCCCGCAAAAATGGAGACGAAGTTGGAATTGCGATTGACTACATTAAGAGTGGTCTTGCTACTTTGGATGAGGGTTGCTCGTGCTCCCCAAATGCCCTTGAATGCGCAGACACTTCGTGGACTGTCTGCCTGCAATCCCTCGGAGCCGCAAGCTGATGCGGAGGACTTCTTGCGCCGCTTCGCCGCGGGGCCCGGTCGGCCAGCCGTCGTGACGGGAAGCCCAGTTTGGGATTTGAAGGGCTTTTACGTAGGGTATTTAAGGGATTGGAGTTTGTCGTCTTTGCTCTTAAAGATGAGGGCTTTGGTCGGGACTGTGAGAGTGATTGAAACAAGTAACCATGAGGAGAACCCTAGACCCTAAGCGCGAAACCTTCAAACCCCTCGGGTGACTTGGAACACCCTGCGATGTGTGCAGTTGGACTAGTTTAGCACATGCTTTGTGAAACAAAGCTCTCACAATATGCGTCCCAACAGAGATCTAGAAACCCTCAACTTAAACCCTAGAAGTCCTACACCCTAGACCCTAAACCCTTGCGAGAGCCCACAAAGTATCACTTAAAGTGCTCGTATAGTGAACTCCTCACTGGGGCGGCTGGCACGGATCGCATCACAAGAGAGCTAATAACGGGGCCTGAATAAGTACCAAGACTATCCCCCTGCGGTTCTCCAAAATATGATCTCCCCGAACCCTATCATTCTAACCATCGCAAGGTCTCTGCTATAGGAGCCAGCCCAGTTTGATGCAGACTCGGTGTCGAAATTGAACCCTCCTGCTTTAAGGGCCTCAGCATTTGGATCCCTAGTGCACTGCTTGGTAAGGGAAACGCCCTGAAACCATAGGACCTACGGGTCACAAGCGTTTGCTCTAGACAGAGGCCTTCAGGGCACTTTAGGGCATGGGGGTTGGGCATGTTGTGGGCTAGCGGCCTCCTTCAACAAAGCTCTGAACTTAACACTGTATGCCTGGATCCAATCCTTCTTGAATCTCCTAGGGTTCAGGTGTTAGGGTTTGTACTCTCTTCGGAGCATGAAACCGAATGTGAGTGCCCCATATCTACGAGACTGTTCACCAACACGGCAAAATACGGAACGGCAATCCTAACCCTCATAGACCCCAAACCCTGATCCCTGTCCCCAATCCCCGGCCAATCCCCCAAAAACACCGAAGCAAAGCTTCAGCTTAAACTCTAAACCCCGAACCTAGGAACCTGACCCCTAAACTGTGGCCAGGAAGGGTGTGCCAGCCGCTGATGGCTGGAGCGCTCAGACGCGCTGGGCGAACCAGGCCCCGCACAACGGTGCTGGATTCCCTGAGAGCCTACTCTTGCTGACAGTTAACAAGAGAACGGAAAGAGCATTACAGTTGCACGTCGTAGCCATCGTCACACTAATATTCAAGTTTGATCCAGGTTCGCATGATACCTTTAATCGCATTACTGAAGAAATTTTAATAGAAGTACCAGAAAATATGGTACTACCGGCAATATCTAGCTAGTAGCTCTAGTCAGGACTACATGGCCCCAACCTCACTGCCGCGAGTCAACTCAGGTTATCCATCAAAAAATCATCTTAGGGTTTGGGGTATTGGAATTTGGGTTTACGTTTATTGAGGATTTTGCGCTGAAGGCTTTGGAGTTAGGGCGTATTTCGAATGACAGTTCCAGGATAGCAGTATCCGTGCCTAAACCCTAAAGCCTAAACCAACAACCTCATGCCTTTATACATCCTGACAGGGGTGGTGCTAGCCCACGTTTTGTGCCTAAGACTCTAGCTGCAGCAAATTACCAGACTTTTATTCCGACAGTTTTACACCGCCCCCCATGTGGCAGAGAGAGCGAGCAGCGAGAGATGTGTCGTATGTATGTATGTACGTACGTACCGTATGTAAATATGTACTGTAATGTCATGTAAAGCAGCGTAGTAGTGGAATGTGGTGCAATGTCGCGTAACGCAGGGCATTGCAGCACAACGCATTGTAATGTGGTGTATTGTATATATCTAGGTATCCATGTATCGATGTATGGATGCAATTATCTGTGGACGTATGGATGCCTGCATGTATGCATCTATGTATGTAGAGGTGTGTGTATGTATATGTATATGTATTTGTATATGTATGTACATTGTATAATATGCATATGGGTATGTATGTATGTATGTATGTATGTATGTATGTATATATGTATATATCTGTGCATGTATGCATGCACGTTTGTATGCACGTATGTATGTATGTATGTATGTATGTATCTATGTATCTATGTATGTCATGCGGCCCTTCATGGAGAAAACTTTCATGTGTCTGCACCAGAGCAGTCGGACCACTTGCCGCTGATACAGAGACCGGATATAAAACAAGGGCTTGAACAAGGGCCCTGGTATTCCATTCTGAATCTTCCTTCAGTTGTGCAATCGCTTGAGCATCATTGTCCTATTTGCCACAAGTATGTACTCCAATCCGGCTACATTAAATCCCACATTCGTGCGAAGCACCCTCAGCATGCTCCTCTGCTTACGCAGTGCGAAGCTCGAGTTCGATCCTTGTCCACTCCGAACCCGTGTGTCTGGTGTGGGAAGCCGTTCACCAGGCGCGATGCTCATTTACGTCACTGTCTCATCCCCTGCTGCTGCATGCTTCTTGAAGGGATACTGTTTCCGCACAGGCCACTTGCGAGTGAACCGCCTCTTCATGACGTTCGCGCAGTCTCCTTTCCTGGCCGCCCCAGGCTCCAGCTCGTTGGAGACTCTCACCATGAGTCCCCAGGACGAGATGAAGATGCACTGCGGGCTTATTCAGACAGGGGACACGACCCAGGAAATGGAGTTGGAACAGAGTGCCAAGCGACCGAGGTCGGAGGGGAAACCGGAGGAGACAGAACGTGCCAACAAGCAGCAGGGTCTGGGCAAGGGGAAGGGCAACCCAAAGGGAAGATTTCCGCGTGGTTCAGACGGACCGGGCAATCGAGCCGACCACCGGAAGTCCGAACTGCTCTTCCTACAGCAGGTGGTGGCCAGCCTTTGCCGACTTATCCTACGTCACGAGGATGCCCTAGCTCTTCAGGCTCTGGACACTCGATTCGTGATCTTTTGCTCCAATCACGATCAGGCCCTCCCGAGCAAGTTATGGAAGCTGGCCAAGGTCTGGCGGGAGAAGAAGGAGAAGCAGCTGGTCAACATGTCGCTGCGGGTGACCATAGGCCTCTTTATGATCGGGGAGGTGATTCGGAAGGCGGAGGAAGGTATGGCCAATTCACGGGAGGAGATGGTTCAAAGTCTCTGGATCACCGAAGAGGGCAGCTGGAACTATCTGCTATGGGATTCCGAGTCCAAATCTCACAAGGTCGATGCAAGCAAAGACCCGATCGCACACTCCCTGATTCTGAAGGACTTGAGGCGACTGGAGGAACTGCTGCCTGCCCCGAACGTGTTGCATCGGCTGCACTCGCTCCGTCCTCTCACAGAGACCTCAGAAGCCCCTGTGATCGCCTTCGTTCTGGACATTGGACTCCGAGCTGCGGAAGCTCAGGAAGCATACACCCTTCTGAGATCACTCAGCCAGTGTGCCATCACCCAAGTAACCTCGTTCAACATCCGGCCGGACAAGCTGCAGAGGTCAGCTCTGGCCAACCACGTCCAGATGCAGATCGCGAAGCTGTCCTCTCGCTGAGGCTCCATAATCCGTCCAATCTGTGTTATGCACACTCTTTTCTTCTTGCATGGTTGTGGAGCAGTTGGACTATTGACCATCCTGTTGCACAGGTCACACCGGATGCCAGGCTTCTCATTCAATCTCTGATTCAGGTTCGCAACAATGTATGCCTCTTGGACCTACCGCATTGGTTGCGATTCACTCGTGACTGGCAGGAGCCTCACAGACAGCATGATGTGGCCGAGTTCGCACAATTTTTGGTGTCGGCCCTTGGCATCACCAACGTCATGATGCATTTTCAGGCCCGTGTGCAGACTGATCAAGGTATTGACATTCTCCCTTCCGAGAGTTCAGCTGTGCTTCGTCTGCCGCTTACTGCTGGGAGCACTGATGTTCAAGGGCTTATCAACCTGTGGTCCACTCAGGGACACGTGCAGGCCCTCAATGAGCCTTTGCCAAGGCTTGCTGTTGTGCAAATCGCCCGATTCGCAGAGTCTTCTAAAGATTGCACGCCTATTGACTGCCAGCGTACCGTTCACATCCCGATGTTCAGTGGTCCTGAACTGGATACTATAGCAGTTGCCTTTACTCTCGAGGCGGTTTGCTTGCATAGGGGTGCTCAGGCCACGCAAGGTCATTACCGGGCCCTACTCGTCGCCGAAGCCAGTGTCACCAGAGCGACATCCTCTGATCATGTGGGAGCGCTCCCACAAAGCTTGCACACTTACCTTACTGACGATGGAGTCTGTGCCTCGCCGGCCACACTAACTGCGCGAGAATCTCTACTACAAGCAGAAGGATATGTCCTCTTTTACAGTTTGCAATGCCTCGATTGATGGTTCAGTTATATCCATTGGATGCTCCATTGTACATCCTCGGGCGCTCTCGGCGCAGGATGTCGCTCATGAGTTTAGCTCGTTCCGAGAGTGCCAAATAGGGCACGCCATTGGCCGGGCGATTAAAAACGCCTGTCTCCAGATTGTCGCTAGGCCAGGCTCGACCGGCTGCGCACTCAAAGTCAAAAAGTATCTATGTATGTATGCTTGCATGCTTGTTCGGTATGCATGTTGGTATGTAGTATATGACTGTAGTATATGTATGCATTACTGTATTAATGTATTATGTAATGTAATGTAATGTAATGTAAATAATTAACCAGTCTATGTATGTACTTACGTACATGTGCATGTGTCTATCTCTATATGTGTATCTCTCCCTATCTATCTATCTATCTATCTATATATATATATATATATATATATGTGTGTGTGTGTGTGTGTGTGTGTTCGTGTGTGCGGTGTAGTGATGGTTTATAGTGTTTAGATAGGCGCATAGTCTGATTGTTCTTGGAAGTACTTCGCGAGCTATGCTTTTGCTGTAAAGAAAGTGCGTGACGAAGCCGGCAAGCCGTGAGGCGCAATTCCTGGAGCACTATGGCCAGCTCCGTGTGCAAGTGACGGAGCCCTCTCGTCGAGCTGGTGACAGCGGTTGAAACTTTGCGCATTTTTCCAAGTCCCCCTTCCCTGAACTGAAGCCGATACTGAGGCCTTAGCCCACCATACTGTGAACGATATCGACTGGGCAACCTAAGTTTTCTCAAAACGACGAAAGAGAGTTGACAACGAGACAGGGTATAGGGGATCAGACACCCGTGCTACTTTGCAATCTGTCCTGGATTCCACAGTGACAGTTGACAGTCGTCTTCTTATAGCCTGCGAGTGCCATTCAGCAAGATCGCAGATGCCAACAAGCAAGACGGCAATATGATCATACAGGACATGCATACTTAGGCCGCACATGCAGATCGTGTGTGCGTTCAATTCAATCCTACCCTTACTTACCTTTGGTTAGTAAGGAATGGAAGACTGGTAGTAATAGTAGTAGTAGTAGTAGTAGTAGTAGTAGTAGTAGTAGTAGTAGTAGTAGTAGTGGTAGTGGTAGTGGTAGTGGTAGTGGTAGTGGTAGTGGTAGTGGTAGTGGTAGTGGTGGTAGTAGTAGTAGTACTAGTCATAATTCTACCCCATTTCTCCATTCCCTACTAACCAAAGGTAAGCTTAAACCTACACCCTGGTCTCATCGCGTGAGGAGATGGGTTCGCTACACGGCCTCGGCAAGCCACTCCGTGTCGTGGGGCTTCCCAGCTGGCTCTTTGGGATGAATCAAGGAACCTGATTAAGAAACCGTGGGTCTTTAAAGGTTCCTTTACAGGGGTCTAGAAGTGTTACTATAAGGGATCTATAAGGGGTACTATAAATAATATAGGAACCTGATTAAGAAACCTTGGGCCTTTATTAGGGCTCCGTATATGAATCCAATTATTTTGGGGTTCTAAGCACAGGGTTTCTGAATCAGGTCCCCGCATTAGCCTTTGCGGATTCGCAGCATAATGTAGGGGCCTTTAACAGGGTTTAGAGTTTGCGGGGCATATATTGTCATTATGGCAGAAGCAGGAACTACAAATGGATACTAGTCCTGTTCCTGTGCAATCAGGAGTGGCCCAAGTGGATAACATTGCCAATTACTCGGACCTCTACGCTTGAGGTCAGGGTACCGAAACCCCCAACTGGGCAGGAGAGGGCAAGACTATACATGGGAGTTTCCAAAAATAGGGGACCCTAATATAGTACCCTAAATAGTAGGATCCTTGTTCATAAGGACCCCTAGAATAAGGTACCCTAATTTTCGGAAATTCCCACATGAACACAAGGAGTTCCCTGCTGGGGCCTCGTCGTGAGTCCAGGCATTTTGGAACTTGGCGCTGAACCATGTAAAAATGTAATCATAGAGAATATTGCTAGGCTGTGCCTGAGTATTCTTGCTGTGGTTGAGGGTTTAAGGCTTATAGTGCATTTAGGGTTAAAACGCCGTGGCTTTTTGGAACTTGTCTTGCTGACCCAGGAGCTGTCTTTGGACGAGTACGTCAGCTATGCCCGGGACAACAAGGTTCGACTTGACTGTTGACCCAGGGTATTCAAAATTACGGGTTTTGTCCCTAATTAAGTCCTAACCCCCAAACCCCTAAACCCTAAACCCCTAAACCCTAAACCCTAAACCCCAAACCATTAAAAAAATAAAACCTAAACCCTAAACCCCTAAACCCTAAACCTTCGGTGACAAGAGGACAGCTGCATTCGCTGTACTGCACTGGCTAGAAGGATCCCGAAGCCTGGTCCAAGCCCAAAGGGCTTCCTGTAAGATAGGGGCCTTAAGAACTAAGGGTTTCTTTTTAAAGGGGACTTCAAGGGCTACTACAAGGGATCTATAAGAGTACTATAGTGTAGGGGCCTTATAAGAAGTGCCTATACGATTTTTTGGGGGGTCCTTATTATATTTACGGTATAGCGGGACCCAAGACCCTGTTCTAATTATTAAGGCCCCTATAGTATACACTGTTTGGGGGGCAAGCCCGCCGGAGCACCACAATCGTTGCAAGGCACCTTCCGGATGGAGCGTTCAGGTTTGGGCTTTGGGGTTTGTGGACTTAGTTCCAACCTGCGTGCATGCAGTATACATGCGTCGATACATGCCTGCCGATTATAGTGTTCTCCCGAGACGGAGAACATTTGAGATAGGGGTCGCACCTCGTTCACGCCCCGAAATTGTCTGAATGGCTGCAGGGCGACTGGAAAATAGCGTAGCAGAAGGCCATAGAAGACCCCCGACTGCGGTACTGCATTCACCATGGCCGCTGGAGGCGACACCGTAGATAAGGAAAGTGTCTTCGCGAACTACAAGTCCGTGTTCTCGCGCCAGTTTGCGGTTTCCTTGGCTGTGGAGTTTGTGGGCGTGATGTTCTTCCAGATTCTTGGGGGTACCTCTGCCAAAGAATACGCTCCCTTTGTGAACGGCTTTGCCTTGGCCGTGTGGATCTACGTTGCTGCCAACATCAGTGGTGGTCACTTGAACCCTGCGGTGAGCTTCAGCACCGCCGTTTGTGGCTTCTACCCGGTGATTCACACGGTCCCCGGGGCCAGCAGGAACAGGTTTTCGCTAGGCTTCCTCCATTTGTTCATAAAGGAATTTGGTTTCAAGAGCTGCTTTACTGTAGACTGTATAGACTTGCTCAGGTGATCTACATTGCTCTCCAGATCATCGGTGCAATCGTCGGAGCATGGGTCTCGTCAGGACTGGTGCCGGGTGCAGGGGGCCTCATTGGCACGGGTGCAAGCGGCCCCGGATGCTTTGACCGTGGCACGATCGGCGAGGGCATCACCGACGAACAGGTCTTCGGCTGGGAGTGTGTGACTGGGTTCTTCTTGCAGGCACTTAAGATTTATGTAAATCCGGTAAGTATACTATCGGGATACGGGATAAACAAGTGTGTGTTTTCCTGAGTTCACTGAGGTGATGACCTTCACCCTCATCTCCTGCGTCTACGCCTGCGGTGTGGCAAAACCCGGGCATGGCAGCCACACGCCCTTCGCCGTGGGCCTCGCGCTACTGGCGTGCGCCGGCTCGGGTGGTCAGTACACCGGTGCAGCCCTGAACCCAGCTCGAGTGCTGGGCCCAATGGCGGTCTTCCAGTGTGGCAAAGACGTCGTTGGGCTCTACATCGGAGGCCAATTCGTGGCAGCGCTACTTGCGATGTCCGTCTTCGCCTTCGTGTCCGGCCTGGGCCCTCTGAACCCATGGCTGGCCAAGAAGGCTTTGAACTTGTCTTGGCCTGAGGCCGTCTACCTTTGGATCACCGGCTCGCCCCCAAGCCGCCTGCAGAAGACAGGCCGTGAGAACATCAACGACTTCGCACACGCGTTTTCCGAGTTCTATGCATCCGAGGGATCCGAGGCACCGCGGTCCAAGATCTTGGACTTCGAGCGCTGCTTTGGCCTCCGGAAGTCTGCGGCGGTTGACACCCAAGCCCCAGACCTTGCCTGAGCAAAGAACCGGCTTACAACAAGTCGCCTATCTTGCTGATTCTTGCCGGAGGGGCGGGTGGAGCGCAGTCTCAGGGCCCAAGCTCTCTGACGGAGTTTCTACCACCCTCCGGACACCCAGAAGCGGTGACAGTTTTGAGGCATCCCGCAAGGTCCTCTAACTCTTGTGAGTTTACTGTTTAGATAACACTCTATTAACCAGGACCCTTCTTGCACCCTCAGTTGTGGTATGTGCGGCCTATAACTAGTAATACCAGGTATTTAGCCTGAGGATAGGAGGGTCCAGCAAATTCAATTTGCCCATCTCCCGTTCTGTCGAGCAAGCAACGGTCTTGTTCCCAGCCATGCACGAAGACCCTCCCGTTTTTTTTTTTCGGGCTGTGGTTGGATTTCCAGGAGAGACCCTCGCGACACTTTGTTCCGAAGCTGTGGTTGGAAAAGTGCTTCGGGACATGCCGAACACGAGCGGTCGAAGTACCTTCAGCACGTTTGTTCAGATATACAGTTTGACAGCTATTCATGCGCCTCCACCGCAGGTGGCTGGCCTTTCGAGGTGTGGGTATTGGGGTCTAGGGTCTATAACGGTTACAGTGCCTGACTGTCTGCCTCATAAGGAACTTTAACTACGAGGACTCGTTCATGCCACGAAATTGTCTGAATGGCTGCAGGGCGACTCGAAAACAGCGTAGCAGAAGGCCATAGAAGACCCCCGACTGCGGTACTGCATTCACCATGGGCGCTGGAGGCGACACCGTAGATAAGGAAAGTGTCTTCGCGAACTACAAGTCCGTGTTCTCGCGCCAGTTTGCGGTTTCCTTGGCTGTGGAGTTTGTGGGCGTGATGTTCTTCCAGATTCTTGGGGGCACCTCCGCCAAAGAATACGCTCCCTTTGTGAACGGCTTTGCCTTGGCCGTGTGGATCTACGTTGCTGCCAACATCAGTGGTGGTCACTTGAACCCCGC